TAAAGGGCATTAATACTAACTTTCAAGAATTTAGTTTAACAACATTTACTTAAGTTAGAAGTGGTTTAAGGCATTCACAACATCCTTGTGTGTTTTTTTAAAAAAATTATTAGGCTAATATGATGTTTGTAATTTTTCCTATAATAACAGGCAAACTTTCTTGCAGATTACAGGAACTTGAATTCTTCTAACCACCATGGTTTACCTTATCAGTGAAAGCCAATTTTCACCGATTTTGAAATATGTACTGTATATATCAATAAAAACATAGTCAATTAAATAATTTGATTTCTCAGAGTCATTTAGTTTTTGTTAATACTTAAAACATTAACTATTAATGTCCAAATATTCCTGATCTTCTAAATTCATATTTTTAATGTCATAAATCTCAGAAGAATGATAATAATAAACTGATGTCCTTTGACAGTTACTAAAATGACCAGTTTTATGACATGATGGTCTCCAAATAAATACATACATTTAAATTATCATAAAATTGAATATTTGTTTAAAAGAACTTATGAACATCAAGATAAATCCTATCAAACAAAACTTCCTATGAAAATGAACAGCTATATTTTTATGTTGAAAATCAAATTCATTATTACAGATATCATATGAATAGAATAACTTCACTATTGCATTAACATTGTCTTGGCTATATGATGGTTAATCAATCGTATGTGTCAACATGGTAGAGCTGTGGGGCATGCAGATCCTTGGTCAACACTACTCTACATACGTCTGTGAGAATGTTTCTCAATGAGATTAACATTTGACTAGGTAGATGGAGTAAAGCACATTGCCTGTATGTAATATATACACATTCTATTGGTTCTGTTTCTTGTGAGACCCTGACTAGTAAATGTACTGATGAGAATAATAATATAGCTGATATGAACACATGATTTTTTTTTAGACAAAATCCATATAAATTCTCAAGTCCCTGCTATTTTAACAATTCATCTAGTTGTAAAGTTTACCAGTTTGGGTAAATTTAACTATATTAGAATCTTACTTTTCTTATAAAATTTTGAATAATAAGTTAAAATTATAGAGGTGATTTCAGAAATTTTGGTATGGGTCAGATTTGGGGAGTTGGAGAAAGGGTGACCCATCATCGAATGGGTCCTGAATACTCCATTGCAATACTCTCAATATCAAACATTGTGACTAACGTGTCAAAGATTAATATATATAACATGTAGATAGAAACAAGAGATTAAGAACATGCACATAAACATTGCTTATAAAGGAGGAAAAATCATGTAACTTTCCAATTTGCTTCTAACAAACACAATGTATGGCAGATATTTGCTTTATGAAAATATATTTTAAAGGCAATAATACTATTATGATTTTTTTTTAATTTTTTTTTATTAGCTACACATGACATTACAATGATCTTGGCAATTCATACATTTGAATCAATTGGGGTATAGTTCCTCATTTTTCTGATTGTACAGATTGCAGAATCACACTGGTCATAGAGTCACCTATAAACAGACAGTAATCATAATGTCTATTCTATTCTGCTAATTATGATTTTTTCTGAGCATTTCAGTTACAGTTTTCTATTTTTACCAAATTTTTTTTAGGGGAACTAAGTCTTTTCAAGCTTGCTAAATTTACATTCTACAGTTCTTAAGATGAGTAAAACCTATGTATTAAAATGGTCAAAAACTTATTTATGAACCCACAGACTTTATTTATAAACCCGTACGGTTTACTCACAAACCCGCAGAGTTCTTTCTGGTGAGAACGTATAAATGTCATGCACACATAGGCAGAGCAGTGCAGTGACGTATTTGCGCTGTTACCATTGTCTTCCCTCTTACTTACTGCAAATGCACCCAAGATCCATGATGAATGGAGGGTGCGCCAAGGTGCTCACTTAGATTCTGAAGTAACTGTAATGATGATAATCATGATGCTGACAATGCCAGTAATCTCTGACATTTACACAGTGTTTACTGTATGTAAGAGCTGCATATAAATAAACCAATTTATCCCCCACAAAACCGCAACAAGGTAAGTTCTACCATATTTGTTTTACAAAGGAGCAAATGGAGACAAAATCCAAATTCTCTAACTGTGTAATATACATTTAATAACTGTTATCCTCAATCTGATATTAAAAACTAGTTACTCCAATAATGAATTAAGAGCTAAATTATGATGCAAACACTACAGACTATTATTCATACACTTAGAAATGAAGATGATACAACATGGAAAATGAATATGATATAATGTTGGAAAATAATCAGAATATAAAATATAAAGTGCTATGTCCACGTCAATTGTGACATTGCAGACATCAGCTCTGATAAAGGCCAGGGAGGAGCTGCAGTGCAGCATGGTATGGACCTCTGCCTCTGAGGTCCTGACCCCCGGCTTTCTCCAGCTACTTTCCTGGACTAAAGACCTGGGGGCCCCAGTCACCCAGTCATTAGGCCAAAGGAGTTCTTCCTCATCCGCCATCTCTCCACAGCCCACATGCTTCACTTCACCAGGGCCTCCCTTTTCAAACTTTGCCCTCTGTTTAAAATTGGTGTGGACATAGCATTTTATATTTTATATTCTGATTATATATTCTGTATCCAAAACATAAGTCACTGCTTCTCTACCTTTATATGCTCCTTCATTGGAACAGGAAATTTTTAAATTTTCCTTTTATCCTCAAAATTCAGAGGGTCTTCAGATTGTCCTCAAAAGTGTCAATTTTTTGAGGCGCCTTCTATGGTGGTTTCCTCCCCTTGCTGCAAATTGAAGGAAACGCGCACATGTGACCTCACCCTCTGCCCCTCCATACCTGTACCTACTCCAGCAACTGTAATAGGCATGTTCCCTGTGTCCATGGTCCTAGAGTGTGCCCTCCACACTCCAGAGCTGCTCTCAGGGCCAGCTAGACATCTCCGCACAGGCACCCTGCCAGCACCCACTCTCACCATTCACAACAGGTCACCATCCTGCCCACAACTGAACTTCATATTCCTGTTTCTCCCATGGACACCCCATTTCTCCAGTTCTCCAGGAATGAACTACAATGCCAAGTCACTCAAGATCTGTCAAATACAGCTCCAAGCTCTGTGGCTTTCCCACCTTCCACATCTCCTCTCTGTTCTAGAAGAGCAGCAGCCAGCCTTCTGGCCTCACACTCTCTGTGTTCATTCCTAGGGCAGGGAGTCACTTGCATTCTGTTACTCCAGGAGGGCTTTGCTGGTGACTCCTAATCAGCTGTGCTCTTTCCATCTTTAAAACTTCATGATGCTTTAAAACTTCAGTGGTAATACACTGATGATGATGTTTGACACCCTATAACCATTAAATTCAACCACATGGAATTGCTGATGATTTTCTTTGAAAATGGTAATTCCATATGGCTCAATCCAACATGTCTTTTGGTTTCAGATCCCCAGAGAGGGAGTTCCAGATGAAGATAGGGGCTGAGTTTTGTCTTTCACTGAACCCCTGAGAAGCCCAGACTATTGCAAGTATTTGACAAAATAGAGACTTTTCAGTCAATAAAAATATCTTATTCATTGATATCTGTAAAATCAATAATCAATAGTGATTCATCTAACTGAATATGAAATAGCTAATTGTTTCACCAACCAGTCTACATGATAGAAAGGAGGAGCCTGAGAAAGTTCTGGTTATATATATGGATTCAAGGGGCTGTTTTAAAATCACTTATTTTTGAAGGAAACATTCTTGGATTTAGAGGTTGACAACTACAGTGAAAAGCTTTTTAGTTGACTGAAATTAAAAAAAAAAATCAAAACAGTTTTTAGCACATGCACTTCCCTTATAAAATCAAATTGCCTGAAAGCAAAGCACAGCAGTTTGTGCACAAAGCTTCTTGTCTCACCACCAGCATCGGGAGAGGCAGGAGAATGACAGGGGCAATTTGCATTTCTATAGCTTCTTTGTGTACCCACATTCCAAAAGCATTTCACAAAGCAATAAATATCAGGGCACAGAAGAGGCAGTGACAGGATGTGGATACCAGGACAGAGGACCCTGGCAGTCAGACACTGAGCCCCCAGGCACAGCAGTGGTCACACATAGTTATAAACATGAGAGCAATTAATGGGTGTTCCTTAAGAGAGGGGGGAAATGTGTCCCGGGTCCTTCCCCATCCCAGGACTTCCTCCTTCCTGCCCCCACTGTCATTTCAGGACCTGTGCCCTCTGTCTGCAGGCACCCACAACAAACCAAGGTTTCAACTGCTGCTCCATGGCTCTGTGGGGCTGTCCATCAACCGCCTAACTAATTCCTCCCATTCCTACCAAAATCATGACTTCTGATGCATCTGGCTTCAAGGGTGGAGGAGTGGCAGGGTGCCATGGAAGCACAGCTCACCCATCATGTTGGGGCCTATTCTAGGGGCGACTTGACTGAATGGTGGAGAAAACGCACACAAAGGGGTCTTTCTGCTGCTGCAGACTTCCTTCCTGGCCAGCTCAGGAAGGGGTGCTCCCCTCCCCGGCAGGGTGTTCTCAGAGCCAGCTGTGAAGGGGCCTGAGCCGGCCAGCTCTAGTGCCTGGAGCAGCAGCTTTGACTGTCCTCCAGGGGTCACAGTCGGGTTACAAATCCCTTGCAGCACAGGGACTGAGCAGCCTGATTGGGAACAATTTATTCGAATGCTTCTTCATTAAGATTCAAATGGAACAAGTAAGGTAGAAATTGAACAGACCCAGAAATTGTGCCTGGCTGCTCCTGTAGTCAGTAAACATTTACCACCAAGCCCAGCTCGTGGGGTTCTCTCCCCCTCTCCTCAACTCGGGGTTGTTCTTCCAACCCTTCCTGCTTGCTGTTTTAATGCATAATTAAGAAGGTCAGAATTAATGAAGCAGTGTGGAGTAAAGTTCAAGGAATCCCCAGGCACTATTTATTCTATTAGATCTCGGGCACGAATGTCAGGTTGGCAGAGTAAGCGGCATCAGCCATGGGGCTGGCCGCATCCCAGGAAAGACCCACCCAGGGCGACTCACCTGCACCGTCAAGTCATTCTGAAGCTCCTTCCCTGCAAAAATCACACGCAGCTGGCCAGCTGGAACCCCCTGTCGCTTAGCAACCACTTCCTTGAGCTGGAAGATGCTGGTGTCAGAATCGACCTCCACAGGGAAACCATGGCTGGAGTTGAATCTGACAAACACTGACCAAGAAACGGAGGAGAGGAAAGAGCCAGAGTTACTCAAAGCCCTTAAAGGCAACTGCAGCCCTTCTGAACCCATTTACCCCTCACCTGCCCTTCAGTGAAAGGCACGGGGGTTTTCTTTCACTTATAACAGAAACTTAATACAATAGAGCAGTGTTTGGGAAAAACAGGGTTTCCCCGTGGGGTTTCCCTTTCACACATTAGTCAGTGACCCGCAAACCAACATTGCCTTTTCCCTTTGACATCCATCCTGGGACACGGCTGCTTGACTGGAATTGTGAGATCCCCAGAGTTTGCCAGAGATTCAGCTCAGAAGCTCAGACAGCCCCAACCAAGTCTGGCTCCTCCACTGTTAAAAATCAAAGGCAATGTGTTAAACAGAAAATCCCAGCCAGGTTGTAGACTGGGGGACAGCCCCTTGGGCTACCGGGCCGAGAGGTTCCGTTCCGCTCTACAGATGCAATTATTTGCTTCTCTTTTAAAGCCAACCCCTCATGTCTCTATTGGAAGCATGTTCCAGGGGACCACAGACTGAACCCCCGCTGTCGGCAGGCTGTCTTGTCACTTAACATCGCCCCGCACCTCCTCAGTCTCTCACGGCTGGCTTCCCCCTCACTACCCTACGACAGACAGACAGGCTCTCGTGAAATCTTTTCAAGATTCTTGCACTAGCTTCCCGACTGGAGTCTTGGTCCTTACTTTTCCCTCCCAAAAACGCTTTACTCCATTCTGCAAAATAAGTTTTACTAATTCAGAGCTCTGACCTTGTGCACCATTCAAATCCTTCAAAGCCTCATCCTGTCCTCTGGGAAGAAAAGGCAAGGCCCCTCCTCTGGTACAAACCACACTCCAGCATTTTCTAGGTTAGTTCCTGCAGGTATTCTGCTAATGAACTGCTCTCAGAACACTCTTGCACCCAATGTCTTCCCTTTACTCAAGCCCCCCTGCCCTTCATCTCTTCTGCTGAATCCCAGCCCCTCATGTCCAAGTGGGATATCCTTCAGGGGGCCTCTTCCTACCAGCCCCAGCAAGAAACTGACCTTGCCTATTCAGGGCTCAGGGACGTTCATGGTGCACCTCTCACTCCACACGGCACACTCCTCGGGGAAGCAGCATACCACTGGGGTCAGAAGTACAGTGTTATGGTTTAGATGTGAGGTGTGTCCCCCAAATATTCATGTGTGAGACAATGCAGAAAAGTTTAGAGGTGAGATGATTGGGTTATGAGAGCCCTAACCCAGTCAGTGCACTAATCCCCTCATAGGGATCAAGTGAGTGGTGACTAGCCAGTAAGGTGTGGCTGGAGGTAGTGGGTCATTGGGGGCGTGCCTTTGGGGTTTATATTTTGTATGTGGTGATTGGAGACACTCTCTGCTTCCCAGTATGATGTTTTGAGCTGCTTTCTTCCACTCTTCCACCAAGAAGTTCTGCCTTGCTTTAGGCCCTGAAGAATGGAGTCAGCCATCTATGGAGTGAGATCTCTAAAATCATAAGCCCCCAAATAAACTTTTCCTCCTTAAAATTGTTCTTGTCAGGTCTTTTGGACACAGTGATGAACAATGCTGATTAAAACAACATGTTTCAGAGTTAGGAAGACCTGTCACCAACCCTATGTGCTCCTTTATGTACTCAGTAGGCTGAGGGCAAGACTCTTCAGGTCTCAATTCCTAATCTTAAAAATAGGAATAAACTGCAGACAACGTTATGTGATGCATTAAATAAATATTTAAGTGCTTAGATAGTAACCTTCAAAAATGGTGACTATTTAAATATGTCTTCACTATTTGGGGCATTCATTTTACCTTCTCTAAAAGATGTTAAACTTCTCAAGAGTGGATACTCTCATTCATTTACTGCCTTACTGCTTTTAAATGTAGCACTAGAAGATCTCAACTTGATTTGAAACAAAATAATAATTACAATGTCAATAATCATCAGGCACTAACACATGCCAGATGCTACACCTTACAGGAGCTTTTATCTGAGCCCCTCAAGGATCTGGTCAGGTTGCTATTATTGTCCTTTTATAATAGAACAGTGAATGAAGGCCCCGAGAATTGAAATCACTTTCCTAAGGACATCAACTTCTTTGTAATGAAATCATAATTCAAATTCAGTTCGATCTCACTCTCAAACTCATCCCATTTTTACTGTAATAGGATGCCTGAAACATTCTCAGGATTGTCCACATTCCTTTCCCTGATGATAAAAAGATCACAATGATGACAAAAAAAGGCCTTCCTAACATAATTCAGATATTCCCTTCACTGTTAACTAGTAAAAAATGGGATTAAAAATAAACAACAAACAAAACAATATCCGCAGAACTCCAGTGAGAAGCTAAGACCAAGGATCAAGGAATGATGGTCTAAGATGCAGTGAAATGAGAACAACAAAAGGGAGCAGGTGGCGTCAGAGAGGCCACCAGAGTAAGAGCCTGGCACGAGGTTAGCATGGGGGAGGTTTAGGAAAAGCAAGGACTGGAAGTGACGAATGTTCCAATCAAAGAAAATTCCTGAAAAAATCCCAATGCAGAGGAGAGGGCACTGTTGATGTACTTGTAAGTAGATTGACAGTAGAGGAAAAGAAAAATGTACTGGGGGTCTTGAGATATAGTCACAGCATTCTCAGATCAAAGACTACAGACGGCCAATCTACCAGGTGAGGACCAGAACAGGCGAGGGCTACACAGGACAAAGACGTGGCCCAGTTCTAAATCTGATTCCCTGCTACTGGGAACAAATTTTCTAAAAAAAGCAAAACACCATAGGGGTGTGTGTGTGTGGGGGGAACATTTAGGAGGAAGCAGCTGGGAACTACACACAAGCTATCAGAAACTGCAAAAACCCAAGAGATCCTCAGTTGATGGGTTTCCTCTCGGGGTTGAAATCATGGGAATTTATTGCAAAGGCAAAAATTATAAAGGAAAATAATGTAAAAACTGTACAAGAAAACTGTACAACTATTGAAGTCATCGGTGTCTTCACAAATTTTTTCTATAGATAGAGCATTTTAAGTTATAAACCTCAAGATGAATTTGGGTAAATCATACAAATACTATAGAAATGAATATTTCTGAGTAGCAAGTCTGAGATATAATGTGAAATTTATCTATTATAAAGATTAACTAAATATAATAGAAAGATTTACCAAATACATAGTAGGTATTTGGCTACTAAAACATTTCCATGAATGAGAAGAAATAATTTAAGAAAAAGTAACCTGTCAATAATGGAATGCCATGTGAAAAATGACTGGTATCATTTCCAGTGGGTCTTGGCCTTTTTTGACACACGTGAGAAATGTGTCCTGTCCCATTCTATACTAGCTCCTTCACTCCAGCTGTGATTTCCAAAAGAGGAGAGGAGGCAGCACCCCACCCTTTCCCTTATAGAAAGCGGAACATCTTTATAGTCAAGAAAAAAGAAATTCAAATCCTGGATGTGCCACTTGGCTCATTTTATAATTTGAGACAAGTTATCTGGTGACCTTGACTCTCAGTGTCCTTATCTGCTGAATGAGGGTAATATATATAACCTCAAGTGCCTGTTACATAAGACTTATTGAGATAATGGATGCACTAGAAAATTTCAGGAGCAGTAGAAATAGTCCTTAAAACAGGGCACTCAGTACGGGCAGGTTGGTGCTCCTAAAATCGTTCCCACCTTGAGCCATCCAGAGGAGGTGAACTAGTCACAGCAACACCCACTGCAACAGAGGCAGGTTAGATGGAAAGTGGGTAAATACTACATAAAGCAGACAGATTTCCTGGTTTCTGTTCCTCTTGATCAGATACAGAAAACTTCTACGGATAAAGAGTTATAACAGAATTTGGCTTGTCTCCATTTCTTCAACTTATATTAGAAGTTTGCATTGTGTTAATAATTTTAATGATACCTATTAGAGCACCAGAACTAAACACCATGTCAAAAAGCGTCATCAGTAAAGCATATTATCACTAAACACCAGAATGCTCTGACAAGGAAAAAGATAAGGAGTCAAATCTGTGTTCATCTTTAGCTTATCCCTAACCAGGGCTCAGGAGTCTCAGAGGATGAGGAAGTGACTGGAAAGGAAGAGGAAAAAGAATCCCTGGTTGTCTGGTCTTTATATTTCTTTTAAGGTCATTTTATTTGTACAATCTGACCAGGGTATCATTCACCTCTGAGGAGGATCCTTACACGACTCTGGATGTTTTCCAAGCAGCCATTCTGCTCTTCCTGCATGGGAGCAGGGACGACTGGAGCACTGGATTAGTCAAGCATCACCCCATCCACCTAGTCATTGGTTCAGTGGTGACATTTATTCCCCTGGTCAGAGTGACTCTGAAACACAGGTGATGTAAGGTAGACTAATCAAAGTGAGACCCAGGACTGCCACAGGGTTGACGTAGAAGTACTTTCAGATGGCATGAACATCATGTGAGGGCTACACATTTTTGTTGAAAGAAACCGAGAAAAGCAAAGCCCACAGCAGACCACTCAGTCAACTAGTAAACCCGCTGCCCCTACTGGGGACAGGGCAATTCCTCCTCAGGAGGGAATGCCCTGGGTTCTGTAGGCTGTTTAGCGCCACCTGCAGGCCAGTAAGTAAAGGAACTCATACTCCTGGGGTGGCAAAAAACCAAGCCCAGGTTTCCAAAGGTCACTTGTTGAGGTGTTTCCTCTTCACCTTGGAGAATATCACCAAGTCTGCTATCACCACCATAAGCAAACAAGCCTTCTTCACATTCCCCTCCAGTTACTACCCTATTTTCTGCATAAAAAATTTCACTGAGAACTTCTGATATGTATATTCTTCATTTTTAGACATTTGACATCATTTTGCAAATACACATTTGAAGACTGCTCTTGGCAAAGCAATGTCCTGCACATTTCTAATCCCATCACCACTTCTCTCTTTCCACAATTGCCTTTTCAGAGGTATTCCATACTGTTGGCTGGAATTGAACCCCGGGCACTGTGCACGCCAGACAAGTTCTCGACCACCCCAGCCTC